CCTCCTCTCCCCTCTCTTCTTCTTCTTCTTCTTCTTCTTGCTCCTCCTCTCCTCCTCTCTTCTTCTTCTTCTTCTTCTTGCTCCTCCTCTCCTCCTCTCTTCTTCTTCTTCTTCTTCTTCTTGCTCCTCCTCATCATCATCCTCTGCTCGACCTACATGGTCTAGTTGCATCACAGACTGTATCCTCTCTCACTCGCTTCCGTGGGTATCCAACCTCCTCCAGCATGCTATGCTGCTGGAGCTCTTAGGTCTGTCTGCCCCATAGTTCAAGATGCCTCCTCGTAGTCCCAAACGGCGGAGCAAGTACAGTGCATTCATGATATCCCCTGTGACCGCTGGATTGCTCATCGCTACACCCAACATCCTTTTGCTTCTTTATTTTTTCAGTGCCGATGTCCATCATGCCAAACATGAAGACGGATCTGAGTTGATTCGAGGTCAGGCTGCTGTAAGGCGCCAACTATCAGGGAACACAGAGGAGATTCTGACTGACATCAAAGTCGAAATCGTCAAGCTCGAGAAGCATCAGTCGGAGATACAGAGAGAAACTTCGCAGATCCGTGATGATCTCGGAGTGGTTATCAAGAAATTCCTGTTATTGCGGGACAGATTCAAGAATCGATCGATTCAACTTGATTACAACAGAAACACTTCCGAGCTTCATGGGACCTCTCGCACACAAGTCAATCAATCGCACACCAACACACAATGGCTGCAACCGCCGCAGCTTCAGCCGCAACCGCCGCCTTCACCACAACAGAGACAGCATCTCAATCTCACCAATGAAGACAATCATGCTGAGAAGGACCTTGCCCTTGGCTTGGTCGACAAGCTCCATGAGGAGTACACCTCCATCTTTGTCCTCTCCCTCCGCCGATTCTCCCCCTCCTCCGACATCGTCCTCTTCCTCAGGGCCTCCACTCCCCGACTCGACGCCCTCCTCAAGAATCATGGCGTCATCTCTGTCAAGTACGCAGAGGAGGACATCTCGCAAGCAGCGATGAGGAACCATAGCTCCTTGACGTACCGTTGGCTCGTGTTCGAGCGTTTCTTGGACCTTCATGGAAAGAACTACAGGCGCGTGCTGCTGGCAGATGTTGTACAGGTTGCTTTCCAGTCCAACCCCTTCGACGTGATGAAGAAACCAGGGCTGTACGCCTTCAGCGAGTCCATCAGTCTCAGTCAAGACGAGTGGACGTCGAACTGGATCCGGGCTTGCTTCGAGAGCTCTGTCCTGACGCCGCTGCCCGACAAGGAAACCCTCAATGTCGGGTACGTCATGGGCTCCATTGACCGCGTCTTGCCCTACGTCAAGGTCATGGCCGCAACGATCAGGTCCGTCACCCGAGCTGACGGCTGTCGAGGTGAGGGCGTGGACCAGGGCGTGCACAACGTCGTTGCCTACACCGACGCATCTTTCAGCGACCTCGTCGTACAGAACCAGAACAACGGAGCTGTCGGGGAGCTGCAGAGCCCCTTCGCCATGACTTACAACGCCGGGGTGAAGGCTGTTATCAACGGGATGGGTGTAGCTGCAGCAGTGGTGCTGCGCTACTACCACGTGCCGGAGGTGATGAAGCTTCTGTTCAACAGCTATGTGGTGTGGGACGTACACAACGTGTCGAAGGGGACGGGGGGCTGCTGGAGGTACATGCTGATGACCCACGTAGAGCTCTTCAAGGGCCATGGCGACTTCGCAGACTCGTCGGTAGAGAGAGTCGCATCACCGCTGGGCTGCTGTGAGATATGCGACCGCAACCAGCAGTGCAACGGCTTCACGCATTTCGACCAGACGTGCTGGATGAAGTCGATCTCACGATCGCCGAAGCCAGAGGAAGGGTTTCCAGTGCCTGAGAGCACCTCCGGCTGGAAGATCTATACCAATCTGTGATGATGACATGGTGATGGCATGCTCAGAGTTTTTCCATCACTTTCTCTCACTGGAGCATGTCATGTATGTCAGTTGCACAACAGGAATACTGACTTGTGCAGATATCTGTTTTCTTTTTTCACTCCATGTCCTTATCTGCAAAGTTTTGCCTTGGAGTATGTGCTGTTGTGCGATAGCAGATTTACAGTTTTGGTCAAAAAAGAATCGTTTATCAGTTTCAGCGGAGATCTCCTCAAAGCATTTTTGAGTCAGAGCTAAGTAAAGAAATAACCTCAACAATTCTTGTAGCAAAATCGCCTCCTCCTCCTCCTTTCTCATGTTGCTTGCTTGTTGCTACTTTTATTCTGTTGATGGTTCAGGCTTTCGTAAAACAAAGTTTGATTCACCTGGTGATTAATTCTTGTGGAAACCAGGGCATCGCCCTTGCGAGTACATGAGATTTCATTGGACTTTTCCCAGGCAACTTGTACAACTCCGATCTCTATCGCAGTGTTTCAAAGGTACTAAAAGGTTAACAATAAAACAAACCTCGAAAGCATCTTTGAAAATTCTTGACAAAGACTGCTTCAATGAAACTTTACAAGGATGTGATCACTTCTTCAAAAACACGGAGGAGGATAAACCTTTCAACTGAAGAAAACTTGCAGCGCTCCTCCAGAATTCAAGAACTTTCGGAAACAATTCAGGCAAAGAAATTGCTTGTTTGGTCAAATCTTTGATTTGATAAAGATTTTCATCAGTGAATGTTTCTCTCAAATTCTCCCTCCCTGAGTTGAGAACGATAGTCAAGAAATTGAACCATACGGATAGATTCTCCACGGTTCTGAACTCAGACCCTGCAGGGCACAATTTTGACACGTTGGCAAAAGCCTTGTTTAAGATTATTTTGAACCATGGTAGCCGGTAAAGATATGAGCCAGAGATGCAGGACGAGACTAGTGCTTCGAAAATAGGCACAACAATTTCTTGTTTTGTGTATGCAGGCCAGACAGGATCAACCATAGCTTGGATGCAACATAGCAAAGAACGATATGCTGCACCACACAATGCCTGACACGCAAGGTTGCACGTTGCCTTAGCTCTTAATTGTTCGAACAGATGAATATAGATGTACGCCGTTGCAGTGATAGACACTAGACTTGACTGTACATGACATATTTCGATGGAATTCGAGAGGCTCGTTATGAACTTCTCAAGGAAATTTCCATCTGTAAGATACTCTGTAAATTTCTCACCTGATTTGTCTGCAACAGCAAGAACAGAAATCATAAGTATATTGACTGGTTCTGTTTTTCTAGAATCCAAAGATGATGAAATAGATGTATGAAGTTTTTTGAAGACTGCATAACTTTCTGAAGCATTCAAAAACTTGGTAAAAATCGCTCCAAGGAGTTGGCATGTGCTTTTTTGGTAAAGTTTTGCTGATTCACAAATGTCTTCTTGCATTCGGAGAGAAAGCTTATGTATAGTTTGAGTTTTCAGAAGAGTTGATTTCGCCTCTGAGTGCCATAAAACTGCAGAAATGGTTTCAACGATTCTTGCATACAAATCCTCGTCTTTTGAGTGCACCAACAATAGCTGAAACATGATTTCAATCAATCCCGAGCGAATCAATAAAGCAACTCCGGAGGACGCTTCTTGATAGACCCAGTCACTACAATCTGATGTCAGTGCAAGCACTGTATTGCATTGCGGCAAGCCTTATCTTACCGTATCATTTGGAGTACTTCTGAAGTTGTATCAAGAGAGCATGTCCCATTAAGTAGATCAATTAAACAATTCTCTGAGCTGCTGTTTTTGCAAGCGATGAAATTCATAAGTTCCAACTCATGGCGTTTGAGACGATCAGATATTTCGATGGATCTTCGATTCTGCACCCAAAGAAGCAGTAATGCTTTTGCTGTCACATTTTCAAAGCTTTGCGAAACCCAGACATGCATGTGCACTATTAGATCGGGATCTTGCAAAAGGTCATTTGTTGTTATGCTCTGTACAGTGAAACAAAGAATCAATATTGATGGGAAAAGCCATGTGAATGTCACTTACAGCGCACAAGTCTTCAATGAATGCTGATTCCAACTCGAGTCTTCCGCCTTTCTGCTCAATTTTCATCAAAATGAGAAGAAAATTCTTTGCATTTCCAGTTTGATGTATCAAATGACTATAATTCTTGGATATTCTGTCAATCCATGTCTCCAACAAGTGATTCTTGCAAATAGTCTCGCCATAGTATAGTGAAGCCGCAAGCAGACCAATGGTGCCAGAAACAAGCCAGATATCATTCATTACTTCCAAGTTTCCATCCACTTCTTGCGATAGAAGATTTTCAAAGGAAATCGACTCCAGTATTGATAACTGATTCTTGTCTGGAGCATCTGTAAATCCTAGATTCTGAATGAGGGTTGCGAGAAATGCTACTGCATTTGTCCGTGTTTGTGAACCAGTCTGGTTATTCCCCAGCAGGTCAATGCAAGTCCCAAGGAAGCCTGAGCTCGTTGCAAATCACATTCAAACAAATGGAATTGTTTAGGAGGTTTCACACCGCTTTTTGCAAATTTTGAAGCCAGACGTTGTTTACAGCTCAAATCCTCCAAAGTTGCTTTAAGAAGATCTGTTTCAATTGTCAAGTTGTATCAAACCTGCATTTTCGATACTTAGAAATGCCGCCAGACAATTTTCTGAGATATCCTGTGAAAGAAACTCACTCTTCCCAGATTCAAATTAAAGAAAAGCGTTCCAAACCGAGTATAGTGACATGACTCTCAAAGTTACTGTACGTTCTGAACCTCTCACGATATGGTTCCGTATCTCGTAATCTTGGGAGGTTTCTTGTAGTATTCTTGACAAGCAATCAACAAAACAGGCGACTGCTTTTTCATGTGTGTATATGTTGTCTTCACATTTTTTCAAGAGTTGCAGACTTGAAATGATTATGTTTGGCTTGAAATTCACGTCAAAGATACAAGGGCAATGTCTTTCCCATGTCAATGGCTGTTCTAATAGAGTTAAAAGATTTTGCCATGTTGCATACAAGACATCCTAAAATAGTATATGAGATCTGTCAACCATCAAGACTCAAACACTTTCAACCGGATCATATGACACCCGAAGGCCACAACAGATAGCTATTGAAATTTCATCCATATTGGATGATATCAAATTTGAAGCAATAAGGCTACGCATGATGTGTCAGACATACCGGCATCAAAAGCAATATACCTTCGTATAGAGGAATGCCAAAGGATGAGCAGCCGATTCTTACCGCTTTTCGCGTATTCTTGTCCTAAGCCAAGATACGTATCCAGGCCAAACCTCAACATTGTTTTCAATTCCAGTGCAGTCTTGTTTGCAATTATTATATCAAGGGTCTCGAAAACCAATTCCATTATCTTCTCGTCCTGTTCAATAGTGCACATTTCAAACCTGTAATTTTCAATTTATGACTTGCAATGCGTGTCAAAGATATGGAGTACAATATTGTTGGTATTTCATGACAATGCAGGAATTCTTCTTGCATTGTTCTGTCGATCTGGGCCAGAGCTGTTTTACACAGTTGCAAACAAACAATCTTTTCTGATAAGGTTCTCTTGATAAGGAGTATCTTTCTCCAGCTTCTGCAGAAAGAGTTGTTTTGAAGGACTTGGACACAAGATCCTACAGAGGATGCACAAATAGCAGAAAGCAATTGGAACACTGAAAGTGAAATACTCTATTCGGGAATGTCATTGGATAACAAATAATCAATCAATCAGACCTCTTCTAACGCGTCGACGTGATCCAAATCATCTTCTAAGATTTGTCTTATCAAAACATCTCTGATATCATTAAAAGCGTCCGATCCCATACTGCAAACTTGAAGCTTTTCGAAGAATACGACAAAAAATCTATCTCTTGCCAACTGAATTTTGCTAAGAACTTTATCAAAAATTCAATGAGATGATACACACCTGAAGTTGTTTGAGGACTGAATAATCTTTAAGCTATAGATCAAGAACAAGTCATTCAAAGAGTAGTGATTGAGAAGATTTGGCATTCACCTCTTGGCTTATCGCTAATTGTCCTGGACTCAAAGGACATAACCCGTTGGCCAAATACAGCAGGAAGGAGCGGCAAGAGACAAAGGTCTCAAACCAACTTTCACTCCTTACTGTCTCTGACAAAATATCAACTAGTCCCTTCTTGATAGCACTAAACGGAAAAGACAAAGATTAGATCTGGAAGCGTGCTTCAGTGACCAACCTCTCCAAATTCCCTCGTAAGTGAAGTTCAAAAGCCTTCAAGATAGAGTGCGGCTCCAGTCTCGTCGAGACATTGAATCTTTGTAAGAGCAATTGACTCGATAGTTTTCTTAGCTGCAAGTCCTGGGCGATTACAAAGCTCGACAAGAGCATCTTCACAAGCCTGTCTTCATGCTCCGCAATGAGACAGCCGGTAAGAATCATCCAGTTGTTGGATATCAAACCTAGCACAACTTGCTGTAAGCAGAGACAAACAATCATGTTCGATCAAGATTCTACCAAGACGAACGACTGACATCGTCGCATCTTCTAGTTTCCACAGGACTTCATCGACCTCTATCCCGGCCATATCGATCGCAAATTTTTTTCCCGCCTTTCTACCCACAAACTTCGCAATAAAAAGACGTTACTCTGCAACGGACGAATAACGTTGCAACCCAAAGCCGTTGGTTCAAGTTGCTACCGCCCGGCCATGGGGCAGGAGGGAGGAGAGAGGGAGCAGAAGAGGGAGCGAGCGCGAACTCTGCATGTAAGATGAAGCAGAGCGCAGCCACACACAAGGAAGGACGTTGACACACTTGCTTTGAGTCCAGGGAATCAACAGTGAAAGAATGCCCCACTCATCGGAGCTTTGCGTCGGGATTCAATCAGCAGCAAACCTGCCGAAGATGGATGTTCTAGGAAGTTGTGACGCCTACTGCATCCTCCAGTGGGGGGACGATCAGAGAAAGACCAGCACAATCAAAGGCTCGTACAATCCCACCTGGAATGAAGAATTCCGGTTTTTAGTCTCCCAAGGACAAACCAGAGATCTGGAAGTGAAGGTCATGGACTGGGACAGGATGACGAAAGATGATGAAGTTGGAATTGTGACAATCAGCTCAGCACAGATTGAAGAGATCATGTCCAAGCAAGACGCAGCAGATCTTGTTCTGAATCTTCCTTTGACGATGGGCGGTAAGGAGGTGAAGGGAAAACAAAAGGATCGCCCTTCAACCATCACAGTGCGTCTCAGCAAACAGGCGACTGTAGACCACAAAGCAACAACCGAATCTGAACCGAAAAGGTACGGAATGATGGCAGAGAGCAAGAATGCGGACATAGTTCAGATCGCAGAGCCCGCTGATCACGGTAAGTGCGATCAGCAGATTGAAGTTGCTCCCTTGCAAGTTCAAACACTCGGGGAGAAGCCTGGTGTTGTTGAGCATGCAGCAGATGCTCGCACCTCGAAAACTAAAGAGGAGGACAAAGGTATGAAATCAGCTCCATCAGCGTTTGTCGGCAGGGGATATATGCTCGGTAGGGGATCTCTAAAGCAAGTCAGCAACGCGATCCCGAGCAACAAGTCCAAGGCAGCAACAAGGAAGCTTCTGCAATCTATCAACCATTTGATCAAGAACGAGAGCAAAATGGGAAGTGAAAAGTTGGCTGCCGATGATCCACGACGGTCGGAAACAACCTTCTCACACAATGTACCCGACACTGAGCACGATTTCCACAAAGTACGTGAGAGCACAAAAGAGTTGCAATCCCTTCTTGCTTCCATGATTGCGAGAAAAGATGAGGTTTGTTCTGAAGAGAGATCACAAGAAATCCTCTCTCCTCGCCACAAGGGATACGAGAGTGAAAGACATCAGCCTTGGACTCATGGAAGTATAAAAGACATTCTCGATGGCCTTGCAATTGAAGACGGCGTTGTTGAGGACAAGGACTTCTTCGATGATAAAAGTCTTTCTCCGCACAAACCTATCGCTGATGAAACAGTGAGGGAGTCAAACACAAACCCACTACAACCGGACGATCAGCTAAAGAAGAAATTTCTGGTGGTCCACAACATGAAGCTAGAGACACCTCAGGCCTTCACGTCCAGATGTGCATTGTTTCAACTCACCGCGGTAATGAATGAGTCAGTGAAATCCAAGACGAACAAGGTGGTTGTCTGTTCTGATATGTGACAAGTCATTGCGTGTTGACATGCGATCTCGTGAAGGTGACAGCGTGCAACGGAACAGCCAGGTGGGATCAAGTCTGCAAGTTCGAGATCAGACCTGGGAAGTTTTCAATGAGGTTCAAGATAAAAATGCACGACGATGCTTCTGATGAGGTGACGCCCGTTGACCTGCCTCTGAGACTGACTACTCTTCTCACCGAGACTGACTACTCTTTTTGTCAGGCCAACGTAACACTGGGAGCGACTGAGTTCCAAGGATCGGACGACGGGGAGAACGGAGTCGTTTTTGATGGAGCTCTGCCAGTATATTCAGCAGCAGAGCAAGTGGGATTGCTGTTCTGCACGATGAAGTTTGTCAGGGAATCGAGGGATCCTGGACTAGCAAGAGGAGGCGAGGACGAGGGTCAATTGCATTCCGAGACAGTGAAGAAGAGCATCAGCGAGGTCAGGGACACTCTACAGACATGGAAGGATCTGCTCGAAAGGAAGCAGGAGAAGGCTGAGAGCAAGGAGGAGGAGGAATCGAACGGCGCAGGGGAAGGTGGCGAGGAAGCGAAGGTTGACGCAGCCAATGTGAAAGAGACTGGAGGTAACGAGCGGAGCTTGGATGCTTCTTGCCTGTACTCCCGTGCAAGGAGACGGAGGGTTGTTGAGAGGCAGAAGGATGCTTTGACTTCTGCCCTCCTTTCCCACGGCGATGGTGAGTCCAGACCTCACAAGGAGTTGTGGCTCCGATCAGCTGACGAAGAAGCTTGGAGTATGATAGATCGTATGAAGGCTTTATTGCTCCATACATGACTGTAGTTTACATCTAGATACAACTTGATCTTTTGAACAAGTGAAGCAAAATTATGCCAGGTTGCTCGAAAAGTTTTGGTAGTTTACATGTAGTTACAAACTTGATGTTTTACACAAGTGAAAAGAAATCATGTCAGGTTGCAGTCAAGTGCCGCGCTATAGCCTGCAGGAGTGAATCAGCACAAGGTGGTAGAAAGGGATGAGGGTTGTTTGTAAGCACAGGAATGAACTTTTGCAATCTCCGAAAAGTCGTGACTTCATAATAAGAGCACATGCCCCCACATTCAACACAACTCGATACAGATTGCTTCCTCTTCCATCGGGTTTAAGTGCACAAACCACTCGTAAATGTTTGAGCATAATGGAACGATGGGTTATCCTCCTCCCATTACAACATGTATCGTCTCTCACATCACCTCAGACGTCTTCGATGTGTCAGAGACAACATCTCCACACTCTTCATTACAGCCCCTCTGCCTACCTGCAGGAGGCATGTAGTTTCGAGCATCGCTATCATTCCCCGTTGGCTCGAGTCGTTGCCATGCTTGCATACCAGACCGCTAGGACACGAGCAAGCAGCAAAAGATACTAGCTGTTTGTCCCGGCGATGCCCGCCGGAGAAAGACTTTCCGTGTCCGCGTGAAATAAAACAAAGTGAAAAAAAGAATCCCGGATAATAAAAACAAATCTGTAAAACATCATTTGCCGCAATGCCGGAGTACGACAGTCTCCACGTAAGCTGCCACGTCGTCATGACGAACTTCCCCGCGGCCTTCACAGCAGCATGTGCTCCTCCCCTCCCCTCTTCTGCTCCTCCTGCTCCTCCCTCTCTCCCTCCCGTCCCTCCTCCCTCCCTCCCTCCCTTCTCTTCCTTGCTCCTGCCAACATTCTATCCCCTCCCAGAGGTGTCCTCCCTGGGCGACTTCCAGGTCTTCGCTCGCCACAGGGGGAAGGAGGTTGGTCTTGTTCTGGTGCAGCAGCCGTCTTGTCCTCTTCCTCCTCTCGACTTCTCCTCCTCTGCTGTCTGGTGCCCAACTTGTGTAGCCCTTGGCATGGACAAAGGGGAAGGAAAGCAGAGCGCGAAGAAGCGAAAGAGAGGAAGGTCTTCAGTCGGCTCCTCCTCGGCTACATCAGCTACATCAGCCACATCAGCGTCTTGGGAAGCAATCAAGGAGTGGACAACCCAACTGTTCGAACATGTCGAGCCGCAAGGACACGTCAGATCGATCGATGGGAGGGAGGAGGTAGGGAGTGGAGGGAGGATCGGAGGGGTCCTGACATGCGAGGATCTAGCTCAAGGTCGTACGATTGACTCTCCGTCGGGGGATGCGCGGGAAGCTTCTCCTCCTCAACCCTGACCGGGAAGATCATGCCAGGAGCCTTTCGAATGCAAAACTGATCCTAAAGCGGTGATAGTTCATCCTTCAATGCATTTCTCCCCCTCTCCCTCCTCCCTCCCCCTCTCCCTCTCCCCTTCTCCCTTCTCCCTCTCTCTCGATCCCTCCTCCCATCCCTCTCCCTCCTTCCTCTCACTCTTCCCTCTCCCCTCTCCCTCCTGCCTCCTGCCTCCTGCCTCCTGCCTCCTGCCTCTCCCTCTCCCCTGCCCTGTCCCCTCCTGCTCTTCTCCCGTCCACTTCCCTATCCTCTTTTCCAACTCGTTCACTCACTTCATCCTCATCCGCCCTGCTCCTCTCCTCTCTCCTCTCCTCATCCTCTTTGCAGGTCAGACGGTGCGCTTCTGTCCCTCATTGACTCCCGTCCTCGAGTTTCATCTTCAGCGCGAACGGCAGATACGCCATCGTCCGCCTCAGCTCGGTGAGAGCATCATGAAAAAGTGACACACCCATCCAATAACTTACATGTTTCTCTCCTCCCTCCCTCCTCCCTCCTCCCTCCTCCCTCCTCCCTCCCCTCCTCCCCTCCCTCCCCTCCCTCCCCTCCCTCCCCTCCCTCCCCTCCCTCCCCTCCTCCCTCCTCCCCTCCTCCCTCCTTTCTCCATTCTCCATTCAATTTCCATCCGTTTCCAGAAGCAGGAGGCGATTAACGCATCTCAATCCTTGAGCAACAGCCCGTACCTCCAAGGAGCTCGCATCACCTTCAAGCGGAGGATACGGAGGAGGAAGGCAGGGGAGCAGGAGCACGAGGAGCAGGAGGGCGAGACGGTTTTTGCCTTGTGTCTCCTTACATAGTGAACCTCTGGAGTAGGAGGAGAACGCGATCAGAGCAGGAAGCGACGAGGAGGCGATGGAGGACTCGGTGGCAGAGAGTGACAGCGGGGAGGAAGGGGAGAGCTGGGGTAGAGCTGGCGGGAGGAGGAGGTGGAGGAGAAGCGAGTTCCAACTAGGTGACAACGTGGGAACGTCGGGGAGTCTGTCGTCGTCAATACGAGCTTTTAAATCCTTCTCACGTAAGGATCTTGCTCCTGCTCCTGCTGCTCTTAATCTTGACCGCCCACCCCCCACCGCCCACCCCCCGCGCCGCCTACTCCTCCTCCTCCTCCTCCTTCCCCTCCTGCTCCTGCTCCTGCTCCTCCTTTGCTCCCTTCCGCCTCCGCCTCCTCCTCCTTTTCCTCTCGCTCATTATCCTCTTGCTCCTCCTCCCTTCCAATCCAACGTGTAGTCATGTGAAGTTTCTACTGATGGTTTGATAGGTCTCTCGGAATCAAAAGCAGAACGAGTGCCAGAAAGTTCAGGAGCAGGAGCAGGAGCAGGAGCAGGAGCAGGAGCAGGAGCAGGAGCAGGAGCAGGAGCAGGAGCAGGAGCAGGAGCAGGAGGAGCAGGAGCAGGAGCAGGAGCAAGTGGTAGAGTGAGAAGGCGACGGGGAGAGGGAGGAGGAGAAAGGCCTCAGGTTGATGATCGAGTGCGTGAGAGTGAGGAAGAAGACGAAGAATCGAGTGACGGAGGAGGGATTCAAACAGAAGGGGAGGAGGCGGAGAGGGGCGATAGCGCAGGTGATGAGGAAGGGAAAGGAACCAGTGTAACACAAGGAACCAGAGGAGGAGGAGGAGGAGGAGGAGGAGGAGGAAGGGGGAGAGGTCTCACAGCGCTGCTGAGCCGCCTGAACGATAAAGCGATGGAAAGAGAGTGAGAGGAGCGGAATGAAGGAAGGAGAAACTTTCATGGGCCGCCTTTGAGGGAGTAGCAGAGGAGGAGTGGGAGCGAACGGAGGTGGCAGGCGAGCTGCGAGAGAGGAGACGATACTGAGCGCAGGGGAGGAGGAGGAGGATCTTTGACGGCTGAAAATCCACAGACGAGGACGGGCTTGAACCAACCTGCTTGCTGCGAGGAGGTGTTGAACTTGCCAAAAAGGAGTCAGGTGGATCACGCGCTCAGTGGAGGTTGGAGTCGATCAGGAGAGAGAAGGAAAGCGGAGACGAGGAGGAGAACGAAGAGGAAGGGAACGAGCGAGATCGGGAGGACCAAGGGAGGACGAGGATCGAGGACGAGGAGACTGCAACTGAACTGAGGGGACAGAGAGGCTCGAACGAGGACGACTCACGCTTATTCGGGGGCAGAAAAGCTGGCAGGAGGAGGAGGAGGAGGAGCAACAGCAGCAGCAGCAGGATGGACAAGCAAGGAGTGGTGATCGTTGTGGTTGTGGTTGCGCTTCTCCTCTGCATGGCCATCTGCGTCATGGTGATCTGCACGGACATCTGCAAGACTGTTGCGGTCCCAGGTCACGTCCCCCTCCAGAAGAGGATCTCCTTCCCCTCCTTGACTCGCCCTCGCTGATCGGACGGTCACACGGCTGAGCACTGCGGCACGTCACGGCGTCGAGCGCCCAGAGGCAGCCTGCTGAAGTCTTACTACAAGTTAACCGTGCGGTTTTAATGAACTCCCGCCGACGACGCCGGCAGTGACCGTGCGAGAACTCGCGCCCGGACCGGGGTACGGTGACGGCCCGAGTCACAGGGTGATCGGACCGGCCCAGGCCTGACCGGGCGGGCGACCGTACGGTACGAGTCACCGTCGAGCCACTCACTGGCACTGAGTCAGGGCCCGGGGTGCCTGTCACTCCGGCGAGACGGTACTACCGGCCCCGCACGCCGCCGTTCAACGGTTACCGCGGCCCGGGCGGTAATCTGAGTTCAACGGTTGGTATCGGCCGATCATTCAAATTATTGTGCCAGCTTCAAGTGACTCAAACTTCTTTGAGTCAAGTTACGGCCTCATCAGCACTTTACTAGTACAGTTACTAAGGTTGAAAACTCGGACTCAGTACAATGACAATCAGGAGAGTCGAGGAGGCTTGACCCTGACACTCAGTGACTGTCGCACAGGCCAAACGGCGAGAAGAGAAAAGACAGCGGAGAACCAAACCCGGCAATCCTGCCGACTGCTGTCCCCCATACGGCCAGTGACTTCAGTCTCACTGGCATGTTACCGTAGAACTAGTTAACCGGCCGGCCCCAACTCGGTCCCGGCGACGGTCGGAAGGTCCGATGCGGTACTATCTTTTTAGTCAACAATTAACACAGCTGTAAAGCCGCCGTGCTGCTAACCTTCAGAGATATAAAGGCAGCGCCGTGCCATCGACCCAATGAACATAAAACATTATAAAACGAGTATTGTGCCAGGATATCCTATATGAAAGCGAATATCTTTAAAATAGTTTTACTATGATAAAATATTTTATACCGGCTCGATGACCTGAACCGTCGTAACTGCCCTGACCTGGGTGGGGTGATATAGAAGCTTGATCAGGGGTAGGGTACCTGCTCCACATTTTGAGACTCTTCTCTTGGGACCAATGTGACCAAAGAACGACATAGTAGGGGTACAAGTTCCAGGCGATTCATGGGTAGGGTAGGAGAAGGGAATAGAGTGGCTTCTAAGGGTAGGGTAGTCTACCCCACCCATCAAATGCCAACTCACCAAAGCAGCAGAAGGACACGGAGAGATGGGTTCATTTCAGCAATATCGTTCTTTTACGTTTTCAAATTTAACTGACAAGCTTCAAAAACAAACAATAGGTATGTTAAAACCGATTTTGATCCTCTACTAGGAAGTGGATAAATTCAAGCTTTTATCATAGGGAAAGGAGATCTTTTCGATATTGTAAAACCACTTTTAAATCCTCTACACCCAAAGGTCTACTACCCCCACCCGGTGTGTTTCAATTGCTAAATGTTCACTACCCCTTAGATATCCATCTTTTACCCTCCTTTCTCCCTCTACTCGCACCCACCCACCCTACTGTGCCCTAGGTACCGTAGTTGTATCCCGTCATTTCTGTGTACAGTAGTCTTGATATAAAAATCTTGTTCAACTCGAGTACCCCTCACTATACATATATATAAATTGATAATTTTAAATTCCTTCAGTACCGGGGGCTATCAGTATTTCGATGCGATGTGGTACAATTCTCAAAGAATTGGTAGTAGCGCATACATGTATAAAATATCAGTGCTACCAATAAGAAACCCCTGTTTTATAGTTAAAATACATCCAGGTCTTAAAACTCTCCGCCGCTCCACGTCCTCCATGGTGGGAGGGGAAGAACAGGCGCAAACGCATCTAACTCGATGGGCGCGAATGATTCTGACCGCCTCCCCCACCTCTCTATTATGATAGCATGGACATCTCCTCCTCTCCCCCTCCTTTCCTTGGACACAGTGCAGACGCCACAAGTCATCCCTTGCATAGTGCAGCAGAGCGCCTGGCTTTGTTCTCGTTTCTTCTTGTGGTCTAGGGATTGTTTTGATCACTCTCCCTTGTCTTGCTGGAAAATTCATCGCTGAGTAACATTTATGAACGAGTTTGACTGGTTTTTGTTGGCTTCTCTTGATTTCTTATAATCCTACTTCACTCCTTATTCATCCTCATACCATTGCACGGCCTTACACTTAACGGTGTTCTCCTGCCATGCTTCTTTTTGATTGCCATCACTGCATATCATGGTCGTAATATGATCCTGTCATCTGCTAGTATTTATTTAAACTTCCCATCAGCCCAGAATCTATCTCTGGGTTGTCGTTGCTTGCTATAATACAACATGTATACTTTAACTCGATTTGAGATGCTTCTTTTTGGATGTGGAATTTTATTGGCCTCTGTTGACCCATCATGAATTCTACATGCTATCTGTGTGCACAAGCAGCGAAAGTTACAATTCTTAAAGTTTTCTTGTCGCGTGAAATCATAGGGTGCTGATTTTTTTTTTTGGCAGATCTATTTCAACTTGTTCGTGAAAGGGTGAAAATGCGATTCCTTCACCTTAGAAAGTGATTGTGAGAGGATCCTTGTTTGATAGTCGCGCGCCAACATGTCGAAGTCTTGCCTTCTTCTGCTTTTTCTCTTCGTTTCCTTCGAAATCTCAGATGGTTTTAGCAAGTCTTTTGTTCTCCAAACCATGCAGCGAACGTCGTCATGCAGCCATCGTCCCGGACGCAACCTCCTCCTCTCGATGTCTCAGCAGCCCGGAACCGGGGGATCTGAGCGCTCGGTGGGGCAGGAGAGCCGACCAGTGGTCTCGGGCCGTGAGGAGAAGAATGTCATGACCAAGAAGATGAAGGCTACAGCTGTGCTGGAGGCACGGGGGGGATACAGCCTCGCCACCCACGTTGACTTCTCGGGACTCTGGACAGTCTGGCTCAGCGAGAATTGCCCGACCAACCTCACTTCAACCCTGGCAGGCCTCACGGACAGTCGCGCCTCTCAGAGGAAGGCAGCCGTCTGCAACCTGCTCAAGAACGCGTCTCCCGGACAGGGAGCCCCATGGGCTGTTGCAGCGCTAGCAGCAAGGCTAGGAGACAACTCTGCTTGTGTGAGAGAAGCGGCGGTGAAGGGCTTGGCGATGATATCGGAGAAGGGAAACCGCAACGTTGTGCTCGCCATGGCCGAACTGGTCGAGGAGGAGAGAGCCATCACTGTGAGGAGTGCAGCGCTGCAAGCTCTGACAAGGGTGGCTGAGAGGGGGGACGAGGTAGCTGTCGCGCCTGTGCTGAAGCTGCTGCGGCGGGTTGAGGGCACAGAGAGAGGAGATTTCTTCTCCCCTCACCTCTCCCCCATCATCAGCAAGAATGCTGCCAAGGCCCTAGGTAGCCTAGCAGAGTACGGAGACCTCAAGGCCCTCAAGGCGCTTCACCTGCGCGTATTGGACGATCCGAACCCTGTGGTGAGGGAAGCAGCTGCGCGAGCACTTGGGAGCATTGCGAACATGGGTGACCGGCAAGTGATCTTCGCCCTCACGATCTGCCTGGAGGACGAGGACGAGGGAGTTCGACGGTCAGCGATGAGGAGCCTCAAGTCGTTGAAGAAGAAGGAGAAGGACGACGGAAGCCTGAGCGACTTACTTGCGGAGGAGGACGACATGCTCGAGTGGTACGCGACGTGGTTGTGGCTGGTTCCTCTAGCGTGGGACTGCTGATAGTCGCACAGCGTCTTCGGACTGTTCGTTGTTTGTTATTCGTTCATCCCCTGTTTCTCTTGTGTGTAAATTTAGACCTTGTGTGATTATTGGAATCAACTTTTATTTGTAATTTCTTAAATCTTCTTACAGCGCAGCAAAACTCAAATACTAATCTTTCAAGTAAAAGGTTACACGAGGAGGTGGGGCACGAGCTTACGCGCGGGTCCTCCTCCTCCATTCTTATATAACCATGCGGCATCATACGCATGTTAATCTTGTCATAGAATGTCACATGGACCACTTCTCAGTCTGTTGCCCAGCTCTTCCCATCACACTCCTGCTCCGCAGGAGCTGCTACGGAGGAGCAGCTACGGAGGAGCAGCTACGGAGCGCAGCTGACTGTGACCCTCCCTCGTTACTCGCTAGTAATCGGCTCCTCCCCCTCATAATCGTAGTCACGTATGATGGACTTGTACGTGACGATCGACTGCCCTTCCTTGACGAGCCCAAGGCGGACAATTGAGCCCTTGTCTCCACGCATGAGAGCCTGTTCAAAGTGTCAACAAGAGCGCTGGCGCCTGTACCTGCACTCACATCTACGATGTCCTCTAGCGTGAAGTTCTGCAGGTCATTCTCGGCTACGAGGATGGGGGTCAGAGTGACGACATGGCATCGAGCACAGCACCATCGGGGTCTTTGAACTTGTCAAAGTGGAGGAAAAGTTCCGAGATGTCAAATGCGTCGATGTAGAGAATCCGGTCCCCAGCCTGAGCAGGAGGAGGGTGAGAGGACGCAGAGGTGATGGTGAGTCATGATACATCAACACATCCTGTCTGATCAGCGGGACCTCCATCGTAGACTTTGTCGACCTGGACGTTTCAGGCTTCAGAATTCTGCCATTCTACTTGAGCAACTCACCATGACCCGCGAGTTCGCCACATCGATCGACGTCTTGATCCCAATGCCTGCAGGCAAGCAGCGAGGCTCAGGATGAAGAAGCAGGATGCAGGAGCTGCTCACCCCACTTGTTCGACACACCCTTCCATCCTCCGCTCCTGCTCACCCTCCTGCGTAGCTGCCTCTTCATGGCCTGAGTGGGCACTCAGGGTCAAGAAGCCAACATGGGAGAACGTACCTTCCATCTTGGATCCCTGAAGAAGAAGTTCTCGTGCATCCAATCATGAATGCCTGCGAGCTCGTCAACGACCTCCACGGCCTCAATGCCGACAACCTTGCCCGTCGTCGATGTCCAGAATGCTCTGCGTCGTTCCCATCGTTGCCCTTCTTGCGATAAGTGAGTCCTAGTATCCCTGACATTCAATGAGATATGGCAAAAACATTATAAATGTACAGTGGGAGAACCATGGACAGTGACGATACAATCACATGTGACACCAAAACATTGGGGTTTCTTAACGCAGCAGTTCAAGAAATGAAGCTTTGTTTCTTCTTAACTGCCACAAATCCAAACATCGCATCTCTCTCTCGCTGTATTCTCTTTGTTCCCTCTATCCTGTTGAAATTTCGTGCTAGGTGCTGGTCTGTCGATACGCGATCACCATTCCCTGCATTCTGCAGCCATGTCTCTCAGTCGCATTCCTTCCTTCATCCTGCCTCTTCTGCACCTCACCATTGCTCCTCCTCCTCCATCTCTCAGTATCTCTTCATCTTCTCTTTTCGCTCCTATCATCTTTCATCTTCTTCTGTCCTCTCCCTTGACCCCTCCCCTCTATCCTCTCCTCCTACATTGTTCCCAAATAAGGCCATGATAAATTGCGATCCCGATCACCCCACCCTCGCCCTTCCAAACAGTATCTGATCACCCACCCTTTAATATATATCTCAGTACCCCACCATACCTCATATATGGAACCACCCTACCTTCATCCTAGAGTAGCTCAACAAACCTTTCAGCCCACCCACCTTGTTAACCTTTGGACCCACCTTTCACCTTCAATTCCACCCCTAGCACCACCGGTTCTAAGAAAAAAGACGGCAAAAAAATACATACCCTACCTACCTTTTACCATCTTGGACTCAGGAAAGATAAGGGTACTACAATATACTTTTACGTGCACCCCACCCGACGATTCATATGAACTTTCGGGACCCCACCCCTCCACTTTACAACACCACAACATCCTACCCCACCCCACCCCGGGATGTACTACCCTGTACCCCATGGTCTGTATATCTTTCAACCCCCTTTGCTCCTGGTTCCGATTCTGCTGAGGCCACCATGACCCCCCACCCCAGATCAACTTGGATCATGAGGGGGTGCTGACAATGTTCCTTGGTATGACTACCCCCTCCATTTAGCTTCATACTACCGGTTATCTGGGACGTTTTTGGCTTTCGCGGCATCAACCCGACCTGCAATGCCACCCCCGTCATTTGCGTGAATGGGTACCTCTACCTACCCTTCTGCACTTGTACCCACGCCAATTTCGAACATACCCCTATTTAAGTTCAGTCAAAGTACTCTACCCCTCCATTTACGTTCAAGTCACTTATGAATTGGACCCTACTTTCGATTGTATTCGGTGAGGTACCCTACATTATCCAGCATATACCCCCAATCTATCACCCCCACCCTTGCCTTTGACCCTTTGCAAACTGGTACCCCCAAAAGACACGTTTGGTACTACGGTAGCGACGCTCAGTGACACGCGCCGGGCCAGCCCCTGGGGCTCAGACGATCTCATTCAGATCTCAGTGCCAGTGCCATCGGGCCGTCAATTTTCCGTCCGCTGCCGATCCGGTTACTTTTTACTCAAAGTTAAGTGAAATTTAGAAGGACTGACTGGAGGTCATCCATCTTTACTGGTACCACTACCCCTGGACCTTCACCCACCTTGTCCCTCTTTTTCTGTTCAAGTACCCACTAGTTTACTGGTAACAGTACCGGTGATGATTGAAATCCAGGGACCCCCACCCAGTCACTTGCTACACCCTCATCCTTCAAAGAGTTCAAGAGCGGCCCCCATGCAGCGTGTGGTCGGGCTACTGTCGTCCCGCTCCCGCTCCTCCTGCTCCTCCCTCCTCCCTCACTCCCTCCTCCCTCCCAAGGCGATGGTTTCCTCCCGTCTTAGGAGCTCAACCTCCTCCTCCCTGGTCACCAGATCGCGTGTTCCCCTTGCCATCGTGCTAGTTTGCTGCGCAAGGCACGTTGCTGGTTTTGCTCCCTCCCTGTCATCCCTGTCTTCTCTCCAGCATGGGATTCGTGCAAGAACGAGCTTTGTGTGTGGAAGGCTCCCCTCAACCGCTCGTTCTGACTTGCGGAGGAAGTTTGTTGCTCCCTGCCGCTCGCTTGCCTCCAGTACACAGGATGGTAGCTTCACGAAGGATCTGGAGGACGAAATCAAGAAGCAAGGGGATGTGGTAAGAAACATGAAAGCAGCCATGAAGGAAGACAGTGCCTCGCACAGCAAGGAAGAGCTTGACGCCGCTGTCAAGAAGCTCCTTGACCTCAAGGCCAAGCTCGAGGCTCCCAAGCAAGAGGAGGAGAAGGTTGCGGTTGTGGGCGACGCTCCCGTGCGAGTGAGCAACATCGGACCCCTTGCTCTTGCTCGCAACCGCCTCAAGGTGCGGGAGATCATGATGTCGCAGGAGAACCTGGTGGGCAAGGAGGTGATTGTGAAGGGATGGGTCAGGACGGTCAGGTCACAGAAGTCGTTCTCCTTCATCGAGCTCAACGACGGCTCCCTGCCCAAGGGCATCCAGATCGTCGTCAACGCCGACCTGCCGACGTACGCGGAGGTGGAGAAACTCTGCACAGGAGCATCGGTAGCAGTCAAGGGGACGATTGTAGAGAGCCCTGGGCAGGGGCAGCAGTACGAGGTAGCAGCGAGTGAGATCGAGCTTGTCGGGGACTGCAGCGGGAAGGACTATCCTCTGCAGAAGAAGAGGCATACGCTGGAGTTCCTCCGCAGCATCGCACATCTCCGTCCTCGTACCAACACGTTGGGGTCGATCGCTCGCGTGCGGTCGGCGCTAGCGCAGGCGACGCATGCATTCTTCCAGAAGCAAGGGTTCCTGTACCTGCAGTCGCCCATCATCACGGCGTCAGACTGTGAGGGAGCAGGCGAGATGTTCAGAGTCACCACCCTCCCGTCTGAAGTTGACAAGCTGCCCAAGACCAAGGAAGTGTGTGATGGAGGAGGAGGAAGGGGAGGAGGAGGAGGTGGTGGTGGTGGAAGGAGAGGAAGAGGGAGGAGGAGAAGGGAAGAAAAGGAGGAAGGGCAGAAGAAGAGAGGGAGGGAGGGAGGGAGGGAGGGAGGGAGGGAGGGAGGTCATGGTGGAGAGAGTGGAAGTGGGTCGGTGGACAAGGGCACAAGGAGGAGGAGAGTGGAGAGGTTCTGAGATAAATTATGTCAGGGCTCCATCGATTACTCGAAGGATTTCTTCGGCAAGCCTGCATACTTGACCGTGTCAGGACAGGTGAAAGGAGGAGGAGGAATTCAAACAGAGCATGCATAGAGAGGGAGGCAGTGGAGAGGAGAGAGGAGAGGAGAGCAGAACAGGATGCAAACACAGCTGATCAGATTTCTTTTTGTCTTTTAGCTCTCTGGCGAAACTTTTGCCTGCGCACTCGGCGACATCTACACTTTCGGGCCAACTTTCCGTGCTGAAAACAGGTCGATGAACAATCCTCTTTTTTCTCCTTATTCTCCTCTTTTCTCTTCCTCCTCACTTTTCTCCTCTCTCCTCCTCTCCTCCTCTCCTCCTCTCTTCCTCTCCTCTCCCTCACATTTCCCCCTCCTCCTCTCCTCGTGCCCTTCTGCTCTCGTTCTTCTCCTCTCTCCTTCTCGTTTTCTTTCACCCATCGGTCCTCTAACTTCATTCTCAGCCAAACTTCGAGGCATCTTGCTGAGTTCTGGATGATTGAGCCGGAGATGGCGTTTGCCGACCTTCAGTCTGTCATGGAGAATGCAGAAGCATACGTGAAGGTGAGCAGAGTGCAGATGAAGATCGGAGTGAAGGAGACAAGAAAAGAGGAGGAGCAAGAGGAGGAAAGAAGAAGGACTGGGGCAAGACAGGAGGAGTGAAGGAGTGAAGCAGAGAGGAGGAGGAGGAGGAGGAGGAGGAGGAGGGGGAAGGAAGAAGAGGAGTTTTACGATGTTCTGACATTGACTGGCAGTTTGTTGTCAAGCATGCGCTTGAGACGTGCGGAGAGGATCTTGCATTCTTCAACCAGATGTATGATAAGACGCTGCTGGAAAGGCTCAAGGACCTGGGTGAGTGGTGGAGCAGGAGCAGGAGCAGGAGCAGGAGCAGGAGCAGGAGCAGGAGCAGGAGCAGGAGCAGGAGCAGGAGCAGGAGCAGGAGGGTTGAGAGGAGGAGGGAGGAGGGAGGAGATAACGATGGAGCAGTCGAGAAGCCCTTCGCTAAGGTCTCCTACTCCGAGGCGGTGGAGCTGCTCCAGGCAGAAATCGCCAAGGACAAGAGCAAGTGGCAGTACCCGGACGTGAAGTTTGGAACTGACCTGAGGTATCCAGCGGGAGGAGAGGACGAGAGAGCTGGGGCGCGAGGTGGGCAGGAAGGGGGGGGTTAGCCCGGGAGGGGGTGGGCAGAGACGGGGAAGAGAAGATAGAGATTTGATTTGAAAGGGAGCAGGATAA